GGGTGCCAAAATGCTTGCTGTTGCTGCTCTGGTAGGGAGGACTGGTACTGGCACAGCACATCTATAAAGGCAAGAGTGGGGAAACCCGATGCAGAAACACTCATTACCCCACCACTTCCATCTCTCAGCGGTGCTTTCCTGCTTAGCACCTCTGTCTGTTGTAACATGGAAGAAGTACAGTGCTGGTGCTGGACTGAGTGCATTGTGATGTCAGGGAGACCTAGGACAGCTGTGATTTGGTTCATAGCTGCGCATCTTGCTCAGATGGACTTAGTGTTTTTTGAGTGGCTCATGTTAAAACTGTGAATGTATCTAAGCTCTGTGCTTCAGTGTTGCTGTGCCATTGTGTCACAGGTAATGGAAGTGTGGTCACTGACCATGATGGTAGAGGAGCTGTGTCCTGCTGCCTCTTCCTCGACTATTCCCTTCACTGCAGACATGGGAACTCTGGCAGTAATGAGGGAAACCTCCATCTGTCTCATCCATGTGCTTCCACTGTGATCTTCAGCTTAGAGAAAGTAAGTGTGATTCTTCCCTGAAAAATACCGGCCTGGTCTGGTGGGAGGTGTCCCTGCCCACAGCAGGGGCTGGAAGTGGGCATCCTAAAGGTCCCTTCCCCTCCAAACCGTTCTATGATGACACCCAAACTAATGGTACGCATACGCCTGTGTCACTGCAGCTATTTTGCTAAATGCTTACCAAATGAGGTTGTTTCTTTGCAACAGTATGTTTGACTTGTAACAGTGGTCTGTTTTTAAAAAGAACTCAAGGACAGCAGAAAAAGAGCAACCTGGTACCTGTTTGCATATGCCAACAAAGAAGGATTTTGCAGCTGCTGCATTACACAGAGCAACTGCTTCATTCATTGCCTGCTCCTAATAACAAACAGGTGCAGTCAGCATTTCAGACAATCTTCCTTTAATACAAAGTCAATATATCTACATACACTGTGGTATGAAAACCACTTAATGTTTCAGTTTGAAATAACAGTGTGAAAGCAACAGCACTTTGCTCTCATACAAAGAAAAAAAAAAAAACCTTCCCCCACCCCACCCCAACTCTTCCAGTAAGATTTTGCTGCAACATACTTAGAAATTTGGGCAACTTTTACACAAATAAGAAGTAAAATCTTGAAGAAGCTTCTTGTTGGTTTTTTTTTTTTTTCTTCAGTTAAAGGCAGGAAATGGATTGTTGTGGGGTTTTCTGGGTAGCACTGGATGGCAATAATTACCCCTTCTAGGAAAAAAAAAGCCACAGGCAAGCAGTGTTCTGGGCAGTGCATCTTTTCCAACATGCTGTCCTCTGTGCACTTCTGCAAGGAAATTCCTTGTACCCCTGTTACATGTATCGTATCTTCACACCAGTGCATGGACAGTTAGGCTCTTACCTCCGTTACACTGCTGATGTTTGAAAGCTGTGTGCTTGCCCACGTGTGCCGCACCTCTGAAGCTGCTGTATTTTCGTCTTCAGTCCTAAGACATGGGCATTTTTTTTAATCTCCCAATTCACCCCTGGCCCTGGTAGGAGGGAGCAGCACGGCCACAGCTGAAGGGGAGGAGGTTGACACTGCCACCAGGTCTGGGCCTGCCTGCTGATCTCACACACTTCTGAAGACACGTGATATGTCTGAGATTTTAAACAAAACAAACAAAATAATCCAGAAAGGACATTTTGTTCTTACATGAGCAAGTTAAACCTTTTAAATGGTAGAAAAGCAATATGTAGAAGTAGCAATTTGCACTGCATTTTTATATATCACAGCCATTACACGTAACATTTCTACAGTGAAAAAATAGACTGTCTTTGAACATAATATGAACAAATAAGCAATTTTTTCTTTTAAATTCATTGACTGATATTCTTTGTCTTTAAAAAAAAAAAAAAAGGAAAAAATACACTATTTAAAAAAAAGGTAATGTCACTTGTTACAGTTACATCGATACTTTAAAGAAAGCCACTCACAGTTATGCCATTGAATGCATCTTACTTGATCTTTCCCAGTTATTTCTACAGCTAGGGCTGGTTCGTTGCTGTGCCCATGGGCTTGGTGTGAAGTGGTATGGAGGCAGTCCTGAGGCAATCTCTGTGTTGCTCCCGGAGAGCCACTGCATCCGCAGGTGAAGGTTTGGCAGCAAGAAGCAGTTGGCTATATGAGCTAAGTGTCCTAAGGGTGCTTCTCTGGCTCCTTTCAGAGAGATGCTTCTGGCCTTCTGTGGCAGGAACTGGTGGGGAGGCACAGCTGCTTGCAGCAGAAGTGGGGTTGTGTGCATGTGCAAAGAGAATGGGAAAGGGGCTGCCTTTCTGTCTTGGGTGTCCCACCACTGCCTGCTCAGTGCCTCCCTGGAGCTGGATGTGCTGAAAAGGGAAGCGAATGCAGCCCAGCAGAGCTGCCACCTCTGCCTGTATGCCTGTGTCAAGGGGACGGGGCTGTGCCACGGCCAGGTCTGGGTTTTCCTCTCTCTCTTTCTCTCTAATTTTAAATATCCTAAAAATAAATTTTGGAATTAGAAGAAATGAGGAATGTTCTAAGTAAGTGTTCAAAGTGTGAGCTATAAAACCTCTCGCGTGGCAGGGGCACACAGTGAATGCTGTTTGCAAGGTGCCTGTAAGCCCAGAATCATCCCACTGTTGATACTGAAGACTCCAGCTGAAAGAACTCCTGACCCTACATTTGCCTAAGTGTTGAGATTTAGTTCCTGAACATTTACAGAACACCTTCAATTCTGCAAGTGACTTCCTTTAAAGACTGCCAACTATATTAGTAAATAAACTGAACTCTAATGATGTAACCGAAGTCGGTTTCCTTCCCTTCTCCAGCGGTAACGTTTTGCAAGGTGTGTTTTAGCTTTTGGATCTCTTTGATGATGTCCATACATCCTTCACAGCGAACACCACTTGAGGTAACAAGAGCAGTTCACCACTTAAAGTAGTCCATCAGCAACCTCCTGAGCTGCCTCTTCACGGTCCAGGCTACAACATGGAGTTCCTGAAGGGGTGTTCCTTTCAATCCTTCCCCCTGCTCCCCAACGCATTGTCTGGATGAAAAGGTACTTCTTCTGATTCAGTTTGTAAGTTCAAGCGCTCCTCCTGGGTCAAAAGAGGCCTTCCAGGACTTAAGTGGTTGACAGAGTCTGCACAACAGATGGCTTTTTATGTTGCATAGTGATCGAAACTTCCCAGATATTCCAAAGCTGCCTGGTAACAGAACTGGTATTCATCCTACAAATGAAAAAGAGCAACAGTGCTTCAGCTTCAGAGGTTACAAGAATTCAGGATACCCACCCTGCTTAGCAGCTGGCATATACCTGGGCAGCAACCACACACAGATGTGTTTATTCGCAAAGAGGGGTGAACTACAGTGAAGGGAAATCCCTTTATTGCTTGTGCATCTTATACATAGCAGCCCTCCTGTCACCAGCCGTACTGTCCCTGCAGCCAAAGTGGGCTGTGATTAGGGGCAGGTGAGCGTCCCTTAATTCAGAGGCAGGATGAGATGAGACTCAAAGCTGGCAGACTGGGATGAAATCTTCAGGAAATTTTATAAAATAAAGCCTATTGTTGTTTTTTTTTTGTTCGATTTTTTTTAAACAGTATAAGTAAAGCCAGGAGTACAGCCTGGGCTTGCTTAGTTAGGGCTCTTCAGTTAAATGTTTGCATGTGATTAGAAAGACAAAAAGCCTCCTCCCCTCAGCTGAGGGATTGCTCTGCAAAGGTCCGCTAAGCTGAGATAGAGGAAGGGTTTGCCATTCCACCTTACCTCTGTTTGCACCATAGCAGGTCGTTGTGTTCGCAGCATCTTCACTGTCTGGAAAATATCTACAACACCCTCATAACGCATTCTTTCCAGGACGATACTGAGTGTGATGAACACTCCAGTCCTGCCCACCCCAGCACTGAGAGGAAAAAAACAAAACGATATGTTACAGTCATGGTGCAACATATTGACATGTTCCTGTGCCACTGAATGGCTTGGGTTGGAAGGAACCTTAAAGACCACCTGGTTTCAAGCCCCTGTTTGGGGCAGGATTGCGAATGCTGAGGTTATGATAGGGTATATAAGGGTGGTAAGGCTGTGTCTTATGAACACAAACATATTAGAAGTGGAAAGCTCAGTCAGTCCTCCAAGAGGACAGCATCGAAGTGTTTGAGAGAGTGACAGAAATAAAACAAGAGCATCAGCTCTGGGTAGCTGTAAACAGCATTCAGTATGAAAATTATTATTAATTATATAAATATATTATTAATATATTTATATTAATATATTATTAATTATATATATATATATAATTAATATGTAACATCATGCTTTTTGTATTAAATAATTTTCTTTTGCCCGTGGGGAAGAAATTGTAATTCTTGCTATCAGTAAGCCAGACTAGCATTGTTAGATATGGGCTAATACTGGAAATAAAATACTTAAAATTCTTCTGCAATGAAATACTGATTCCCCTGTCCTGCAGAGCATCAGCATTTCATACCTCTCATCTGGTTAGAAAACCCTTGTGAGCACTGCCCAGCTCTGAAGGGTTGGCAAAAGTGAAATCCTTCACCACCCCAAAAATCTGCCTGCAAAGATGGAGTGGGAAAGGAGGGAGAAATCTGCAGCATTTTAGTTCCTTCTGCTCTTTTGCATCCTCAGATTAATTACATGTTTCTATTCATACATGCCTACCTGCAGTGTACAGAGATGGGGCCATCCTGGCCAAACTGTTCCTTGGTCTTGTGTACCTGTCCAATGAAATCAATAAAACCTTCCCCTGATTTTGGCACTCCTTGTTCTGGCCAGTCAGTGAACTGGAACTGACGAACAGTTCTTGACTGACCGTCCTGGGGAAAAAAACAACAGCAAGTAAAACATGCTGTATTTGTGTTACGAAATACAAAAGGCAACCTTCCCCCCATCCGCCTTACATGTTTTGCTGGTAGTTCATTAGGGGACACAAAAAGTCAAACCAACTTAGTGTTGAAATTAATATATAATGATGAAGCTGCTCATCTTGCACTTGACATTTTTGGAGTTCGTTTGTCAGTGCAGATCTATACTCCTGGCAGGTGTCCTGAAAGCTCCAACCACTGCAAATACTGCACAGATGGAGTCTTCAGCAAAGGAACATTCAAGGTGAGGTGATGGCCTCTCTATCAATCTTCAGGAAGAGTTGCCATAGTGTCAGAATTACAGCTGACAGGAAGATAAATCTTGTTCTGCCATGACTGACAAAGCATCCTCCTTCTCAACCTTGCAAATAGAATTATCAGGTTCTACAATTCTGACAACCTCAATAGCAGAGGAAGCTGCTTTGAGAGCGAGGGTTACGTTTGCTAAACAAGTCTCAGAAGGCTCTGAAATGTTCCCTTGGAAGAGAAATATGACATTGAATATAAAATTGAGTGAATGTGCCCTTTGAATGTTGTAACGGTAGCTCCTCTTGAAACCAGGAGAGAAGCATACATTTTCTGTAGGACAAAGAATATCCTTCGCAAGCTGTGTTGTTATTAGCTGTTTGAGGAGACAGTATTTTCTGCTTTTGTTTCAAATAAGCTGAAAGCGAAAACACAAACCTGATGTATTTCTGACAGTGACTGACTACTGTGATTAGTGAGCAGAGGTCAGAAAACTACATTCAGTTTTTTAAGTACAATTTATCTGTGGTTGGGTGTTGTGTTTCTCATCACAACTTATCTCTCCTCCACTGATGATAAGCCCAGAAGCATTTACACCTCAGTCTTGTAGGGGCGAAAGCAAACTGCTTTGCTTTCTGTAAGCCATACAGAATCACGGAATTGCTCGGGTTAGAAAAGACCTTCAAGATCTTCAAGTCCAACCTCAACCTAACCATACTATCCCTAACTCCAGTCTCCGCCCGCGTATGTTTGAACCACTCCAGCCTACCCCTTTTCTTACTGTTACCCTTGCAAGCGCAGACTACACATTGTACAGCACTTACCCTGGCATCGGTGACCTTGAATTCTCGTAGGATGTACTGAGGCATGTTGTATTCAGCCATGGGATCTACTACAAAGTACTGGTACCGAGCAGAGCGCTCTGCTGGCCAGTACTGATGGCACTTTTCCTGTCGGGGAAAAGAAATCTCTCTGTTAGCCCTAGTGCTGCACACTTCTCTCTCTTACTTTCTCCTTTAGAGAACACTCACCCGCCCCATCTCGCGAAGCTTAGTCAACATCACAACAATGGTGGAGTTGTTCTCCCATAGCATCCGCCAGAAGTCTTCAGTGGTCTCTGCCAGGGGCCCTTGAGTAGCAATGTACGCCTTCTGTTGTCTGAAATAGAGCACAAACCTGAGTAATGAATCAAGACTTGAACAAAACTTTCGCAGCACACATACAAAGGCTGAAAAACAGGAAAATAGAAGTGCTAGGGCAAGCTGTAGGCTTATAATAAATAATAAATGACAGAACAACAGACCACCAGTGGTATGACCTTGTCCATCCCTTGGTCCTTCTGCATCCTCAGAACCACACAGAAAAATCAGACTGCTAAGTTCACACCCTGATAGTGATGGGAGGCAGCAAGGTGCTGTTTACCTGTAGCCATCGATAAAGCTGGCATTGATGTAGTCTGACCCCTCCACTCCTCGGATGGGCTGAAGGCAGACCCGCGTTGTCTCATATGGCATGATGTTGACAAGACGATTCTTGAATTTGTTGCATGGGAGATTGGCACTGATGAACCTGGAGGTGTGGGCTTTGGAGTTGGCGAGGCGCTGAAGGCAAAAGCAGAGTCACAACCATTTACTCAATTCCTGACTGCCCCACATTTGCCTGGGCCGCACGGCAGTCTGTTTACCTTGTCCTCCACATTCCATCATCCTGTTCTACCTTGCAAGCCCTCCATTTCTG